TATCGGCAGTATCAGAAAATGGCGGTGATAATAGTTCCATCTCAAAAATGGAAGCAATTGACGCTAGTGTACGGGGGGAGGTCAAAACTTTTGCCGGGGTCGCGAATAACGCCGGGATGGCCGCTCTCATGCTTCTCTCTGCTCGCAACTTATTTTATGTTTAATAATAATAATATTGTACTGATCGACAAATAAAACAACTAAACAATGAGGAGTGTATAAACATTTTATTGTTATAATCTTAATTCTAAAACATTTTAATGTTTCTGTAATATCCATTAAGTATAATAACAGTAACAAAAATAATTAGCAACATCTAATAAAATGTATTGCTACTGTACCTAATAAATAATAAAGAAAAGAATTGACAAAATGTAATAAAATGTATTAAGTGCTGTCTACAATGAGATTTAAGACTTAAGATTTAAGAAAATTAATCAATCACAATAGATTATTCTTCTCACATGAGATGAATAATCGACTATGATTGGCTAATTTTCTTAAATCTTAAGTCTTAAGTCTCATTGTAGACGACGCTTTATTGTAGTATCCATTAAGTAACAGTAAAGAAAAAAATGCACAAAAATTTAAAAAAATATACCGTTATTTTTTTATTGTAAGAAAATATTTAGAATATTGTACTTCATGCAGTGAAAAATAAGAAATCTTAGATAAAATTTTTGTATTCTTTTCTCCTTAACGCTAGTTATTCTTTGAAAGTAGGATTTTTCGTATCAATTTGTTCCTTTCTTCTTGAATTTTATTACTTTGATCAATGGATGTCTTGATTTCTAAGATAGTTTTGATGCGCTTTTCTTCGATGTTAATTTGTTTTTGTCGTACTTTATGCAGCGTACTCATTCAAGTAGTTTTTGCAAATCTTTCCGATGTTGGCGTTACGCTAATAGGACTTGCAGAGGAAACATTTGTTGAGGAAGCACTTGTTGGAGAAGCACTTGTTGGGGAAGCACTTGTTGAGGAACAACCAGGTACAGCTGGATCAATTGACTGAAAAAATAATATTGACGAAGTTGTAGATGAGAAAATTATGACAAATGTTAGAAGAATCTAAAACGTGTGTTATAATAATTACTTCATGAGCATCCTGAGATGATTGACTTGCTGTTATTTCATTTTCATTTTGCATTGATGAAAGTGTTGCACTGCAGTTTACTGTCATATCATCGACAAAAATGTCTTCGAAAATATCAAAGTACTTCCATGAAACTCGTCCTCGACCAGTACTAGTCGTTTTATTATTGTCCTTTATAGTTTTATAAGTTTTTTTCATATTACGCATCTTTCTATCAAGGAGGTCTTCATTTAAATTAATGTAACCGTGTTCCTTTATAATTTGAAGAATTTCTGTCCATAAAATTTTTTTTTAACTTTTGGATCTCGAAAACGATCTTTCCGATTTAAATAATTAATCAAAAGTAATTTCGTCGATTGCTGAGTCCACGAAAAGTTCTTTATTCTAGAATCCACATTTATAAAAAAAATTTATAAATATATTTATTACTTTTATGTAATAAACTGATTACGCAAGGATAATTTACACACCAGTATTTGTACTGTTACTAGTACTGTCTATAATTGAAGCTAATATTGGAACACTTGGAGGATTCTCAAAATATCGCGACAGAAAATCTGGATCTGAAAGAAAATATTGTATTGTTAACAATAACAGTACTACAATAAAATTAAATTTAATTTGCACATAGAAAAATGATTACATTAATTAAAATAAAGATTGATAAAACAATATAGAATCGCGTGCATAAGTACAAATATATAAAAGTACTAAAATAACTAAAAAACAAATGATTATATGTATACGTATGTACTTACCAGACTGTAACCTTGAATGAACCTCCTGCGTTTCAAATATAGTGTATTCGACACCATCAATAATATAATTAACGCCATGCACTTCAGGATTTTGAAAATTCATTTTCCCTGTACTGCAACGTAAAGTAATCGACTATATAACAACTAATTGATGAGTATATTATTTTGGGGATTTTCGTTATTACAAAATACTCACTTTCAATTCCGACAAAAAAGAAGCTTTAACAGAGGAACAACAAAAAAAAATCTTTGACAGAAGAACCAACAAAAGAGAAGCTTTGACTAAGAAACCGGCATAAAAGAAGCTTTGATAGAATAAATCTAAAAAATAGAAATGGACATTGATAACACAATACGATTTACATATGTTCATTATTGCATTTAATCTATTCTATAATATTCGATTTTATAATACCGAAGGCATATATATGATGTGATATACCTAGCAACAAGGCACGCAAGTAGAATGGTTTGATCCTTTTAAAGCTTCTGATTTCTTAATAGGCAAAAACAATCATAGATGATTTTTGCAATTAAAATCGTAGATCGTAAAGAAACCAATAATCGTAGAGAACCTGCCAAATAAGAAACTTCGAAAAAATGATTCTGAAAATGTTGTGGACGTAGGTGGTGATAGGAGATCAGGAGAAGGAGCGCAATGAATCCACAAATGACTCCGGTTAATATTAACAGTTTGGTTATATTTTAGGATATTTACAAGGGTAGAAATGTCAGTGTAGAGATTCGTACAAGAATTGACTCCAAGGAGAGATAGAAAGTCGGGTGGCACTCGAAGGTGCCCGCGCCGAACCCTAGTGAAGTTAGCCCCCCAACATTAAAAAAAATAAATTTCTTTAGCTCATTCGATTGCTCATTGTTTGCACATGTATGCACATTTTGATTTTTCGTTTGCACATCCTTAGTTCAAAAGTTATTAAAAAAACAATTTTGGGGGAGCCAACTTCATGATAGCCCCCCAACTACAAGCGAATTAACTTCAAATAAGCT